AGGAAAGCCACCAAGGTTGAGGCCTGGACCTGGGATGGGTCACATTCTAGATTGGTGGTGGGGATCTGCACCTGCTGGAAACCGGGCCCAGCATCCCTATGACAGAGTTTTCTCAGCACCGTAAACCAACTTCACTTTTTTCGGTGATCCCAGTCGGGAGTTGTCAATTTCTGAGACTTCTTTTTATTTTTTGGACTTCCCCCCCTCTTGAGGTATCATCGTCGAACTGACCGGCCCTACGTAAGGTAAAAATTCGGAGTTACAAAAAAATAAAAATAATAAAAAATTCGGAGTTGTAGTATTTCACTCGTCTGCTTCGAGTGGAGTTCGAACTCGGGTCTGTTCAAGAGTGTCCCAACTGAGCCAGGCCAGTTAGTCCGATACTATTTTTGAAATCAATATCTCACGTGTGGTACTTATGTGTCCGGAAAAAAAAGAACAAAAAAAGACTATTTTTGGAATCCATACCTCATGTGTGGTTCATATATGTCAAAAAAAAAAAAAAAAAAAAAAAAGGAAAAAAAAAGGGAGGGAGTTGCCAACCTTCACACGGCTTCACTGCTGTTTCTGAAAATTCTGTCCAATCCTGTTTGCTCGTTTGGACACCCGGTGCTGTGGTTACAGTGTTTCCCCGAAGATATTGTACCCTGACTCTGAATGTATACAAGCCATGTTTCTGGTTGGATGCAGTCATAAAGTCATAATGAAGGTGTGCTGTGTTCGGGGGAAGAGGGTAGCTTGAATTGAGGCCTGGTTCCACCACTCCGCAAATTCAGATCTGGGGAATTGCAGATTTATCTATCTCCCGTCTTCACCCGAATATAACGCTCGGTAGTTATTGCTGTATCCGAGCCAACTTTCAGTCCAGATACAGGGACAATGACAGGGCTTTGATTCGGCGAATTCGCCCAATGTTTTTTTTTTGCACAGTATACTAGCGATTTCGCAATTACCCAGAGCAGTGGAATGAGGCCCCAAATGAAATGTGTGATCCGGCAGGGTTGAGTATTAACTATTTTTGGACAGCATCCTCCTCCAGGGCAGGGGTGATTCCTATTGGACGGATTACTTGTGCAGAAAATGGCCCGCAAACAAACAATGGCACAAGACGGAAATACCCTGTTGGAACAGGGATGGGGGGGGGGAAACAAAAAACAAAAAAAAAACAAAGAATAACATTATATGACCCTGGAGCATGGTCCCACTACCGGGGCGAGGTCCCACTAGCAAAGAGGATTGGATTGAACACCTGAATCTGGACTTGTTTGTGAAAAGGTGCAGAATGTAGAGATTGAACTGCTTTTCCGCATCTCTGCTTAAAACACGTCCATGTTCAGGATGTTTATCCAACCCTCTTTGCTAGTGGGACCTCACTCCCGGTAGCAGCGGGAAGGATAGAAACGAGTTTGTGTGGCATGTTAGTGACCCAAATCCTGCGGTGCAGTACTCGTGATCCCACGGTCAGTATTTTACTTTTATTACCCAAAAAACTTAGGAGATCTTTGTTCCCCTCCTCCTCTCCGCAACACTGGGCATGCCCGTGCAAAGAAAGCTTCCCGCCAAAATCTTTTCAATCGGTTGGGGGTATGGCCAACCCTGAAATAGGGTGGGGTCGGCCATAGGCCCACTGGATAGAAGATTTTCAGTATTTTGCTTGCTGTTGTGCAACTATCTCATTGGGCGGAGCCCTCCTTCAATCACGGAGTATATGGAGGGCGTCATGATGACTGCTGACAGAAGTCGAGTTTATTGCAGAAAAAAAAATGTGGCAGTTACTTTGTTCACTGTTATGGCAACCACGGCCATCAGATCATTTGTGATCTGATGGCTGGGAACTTCTCTGCCGCGATTTCGGGTGGGAGGTCTCTGTTTTTTTTTTTTTTTTCTTTGCCTTTCTCCTGTTTCCTCAGCCCAGAAATTCATAATGAACCCGTCAGTCCGCTGCCACTCAGTGTCACATTGGATCGGCCACACTCCTATCTGACTGCTAATGGGACCATGCTCCCGGTGACGTCTGCGGGGAGGAGAATACCCCTGCCGCAGGCTGTCAGAATTTGCTGGGATGGATGACAGAAAAAGCCGCAACTCGAAACACACACACACACACACACACACGTAAATCGAGAAATGATCCAAATTTGCAAAGAAGAAGAAGAAAAGAAGGGAAAACAAAAAAGCCACAACTTGCCCTGTCAGAGTGGACCACCTGGTCGCACAGATGTCCAGTTCCATTCTGACCGGACTAGTGTTGTCCTTTTCTCAGGCTTTTTAAGATTTGACGGGCTATTTTACATTTCTGTCCCCTTCATCTCAATGGTTGTTACTGAGGGCATGCTCACACGGGGACCAAAAGTCTCAAAAATTTGAGGCATTTGGTTCGTCTTTTTTTAGGCGTTTGGTTCGGTTTTCTTGAGGCATTTGGTTTGGGTTTCTTGAGGCATTTGGTCCCCCGTGTGGTCACACGGGCGGACTTCATCCAGAAAGGACGAAGTCGCGACCTTGACACTTTGCACTCAGGGCAAGTGCGCCCGGTCACACGGGCAAGGACCAAACAAAAAGATGGAATTTGTTGTTGTTTTTTTTCACGCCAGTATAACGCGTGGGCCTTCTGTACAACGTAAATGTTTCTGGTCGCATTTCCAGCTGTTTGGCAGGCTGTCTTCTTTATTTATGATTTTCTTCAATTCGCGAACATTAAAAAAAAAAAACGAAAGGTAATTTGAGACCACCTATGGAGGTGGCCTCAAAAAGGGTCCTCCCGTGGCCCCGCAGGCAGGCCGCTGACAAAAGGGTCACTGTTTGAGGCATTTGGGTAGTGGGCCTCTCCAGCATGATCCGAAAGCTGACTCAAATTTTGGGATTGAGGGTCTTTTGGTCCTCGTGTGATACTCACACGGGGACCAGAAGTCTCGAAAATTTGAGGCATTTGGTTCGTTTTTTTTGAGGCATTTGGTCTCCGCGTGGTCACACGGGCGGACCTTTTTTTTGAGGCATTTGGTCTCCGCGTGGTCACACGGGCGGACCTCGTCCAGAAAGGACGAAGTTGCGACCCTGACACTTTGCACTCAGGGCAAGTGCGCCCGGTCACGTTGGGAATGACCAAACAACAAGATGGAAATTCTTTTAGTTTTTTTTTTTCACGCCAGTATAACGCGTGGGGCTTCGCTACAACGTGAATGTTCCCGGTCGCACTTTCAGTTGTTTGGCGAGCTGTCTTCTTCGTCTACGATTCTCTTCAGTTCGTGAACATAGAAAGAAAAAAAAAAAACGAAAGGTAATTTGAGACCACCTCAGGAGGTAGTCTCAAAAAGGGTCCGCCCACGGCCCCGCAGGCCGCTGACGTAAGGGTCACTCGAATTTTGGGATTTTGGGTCTTTTGGTCCTCGTGTGAGTATATGCCCTGAGGGCGTCGCTCCTCTGCTCGCCGCATGCAGAAAAGACAAAACATTGAAATTATGGTGGTGTTATCTCCGCATGTTGTACTGGAAGGTCCATACTCATTTTCCAGATTTGGCGAGGAGTGCAGCGAGGCCCTTAAACGGCGGTTGATGCCTGTTGGTGGACCATCAACCAGAACCTGCACTCAAAAAAAAGTAATGCTTTAAAAAGAGAATGGTAGCTGGGGGGTTGGGCCTGTCCACACGTCTCTCAAAATCCGTCGATTTTTTTTTTTTTTGAGAGTTGTCAGACGATTTCGCGAGCAGTGTTTCTGAGAGCTTTGGGCTCTTCGCCACACCACCTCTGGAGTTACTTGGGAGTGACCCGCTCTCAAATTCACTCCGACAGGAAGAATGAATGAATCTGGTCCCGAAATTTGGTCACATGCATCGGTAACTAACTGACACCTCTCAAAAATTGAGAGGTAGTGGAGGGCCGGCGAGAGGGCTCCGCAAATAGAATTAGCTGCAGGTTGGCCCGGAGGAGGTCAGTTATGAGAGGGTTATAGAATTATTTGCATCCTATTCGGACGTTTGATTTTTTCGATGTTCGTCACATGGAATGTGACGCTGACATAAGTTGCGGGGATATGTCTCTCTGTTTTTCTTCTATTGATTTTGTCAAATCCAGCTTTATCCATCCATCAAATGATTCCCACCCGTCCCCTCCCCCCCCCCTCCCCCCTCTTTAATGATTCTAATTTCTAACATCATGTCACACAGCTCAGACCCTTCCTTGTCACCTTCACTGAACGGAGAGGGCGGGGGTTACCACGCCACATAACGTACCTCAGTTCGAACTCAGCTGTTGAAATGAAAGTTTTGGTATGGTGGCGTCACGGTTGGTGTTTGTTTATGACATACGCCGTGTGTGCGCATTTTTTTGGGCCGTGGGAGCTCCAGGGATGGTTTGGTTGCTTTCTCCTCTTTTTTTTGTGTAACTTCAGACTTGTTCTTTTTTGGCATTAAAAAATGTATGTTTTCCAATTTGGCAGACATGAGCAGCAGGCAGGGCATTGCTTACTTGTTTACTGGGGCTCGTGATTTGTCTCAATCGGCAGTCACTTTGGTATGTGAATCATGTGTGATGCTGCATTGCCCCAAAAATGAATGGCTGCAATTGCAGCAGAGCTGCACAGCTGTAGGCCACACATTATGGGCACGGTGACCTGGTAGTGTAATGCAAAGAAACATTTGAGATCTGGCCTGTGGATGCCTCCTTCTTTTCCTTTTTGTTATGCTTCTTCCCTCCCCCCTCCCCCCTCCCCCCTCCCCCCACCTGGTCCCCAATTTCTCACTCTGCTTTCGCTGAATTCGCTGGGGTAAGTGTTCAATCTACTGCGGTAGAAATGCCCCTCTTTCATTCACACTGGTACTCTGGGGGATTGTACCATCTGCCTTGTTCCTGCCCATGGCAGGCAAATTGATTAACTTTTACATATCTGACTATGTATAGATATATACGGGGGCCAAGATGTCCGAATGGGCTCCTCATTCGTCTTGTGTGTTCATGGCTGTGTCTTTTTTTTTTTCTTTTTTTTTTTTTTTCTTTTTTTTGTGCAGGAAGCTGACAGTCCATTTGTCTACTGCGATGTGATTACTACCACCACTCACAAAACTCTGAGAGGACCGAGGTCGGGAATGATATTCTACCGGAGGTGAGTGTCTAGCGTGGGTGTCGTAGTTCGTGCTTTTATGTATGTGATGGCAAGTGTGTGTCCATTCACTGTGTACATGCATTTGCGTAATTCTTCCATGTCCCGTATGTGCACCTGCAGTTCCGCACGTACGTATGTACGTCTGTTTTTTACATTGTCGTGTGTGTAGAGGAGTGTGCGTGGTTGTGACTATTTCACTCTGCTTGCCCCGGCGGCGTCATTTGAATCTCTCTGCATGTCATCGTGTAGTCTGGAGACTCCGTTGCTGCCGCTGTCGACCGTTCTCGAATCTGGATGCTATATTCTGTACCTGCGCTGTCCCATATGGATGGCTCCACATGGTACTGTCTGTTGGGTTTGTATATGCTAATCAGTGAATCTGTATTCATAGCCCGGATAGCCGTATTCAATGCAAGTTTCGGGCCAGATGCAGATGTAATGATCGGATGTATTGTTCGAGGGAAGTAAATGTATTCGCGATGAATGTCTGTAATGGGTCGCTCGATGCTACAGCATCACCCAGGCTTCTTAGGCCAAGAATCTTTATTAAGAAATTATGAGTAATAAGAAATTCTGACTACCGTCTTCACCCGAATAGAACGCCCAGTAGTTATCGCTGTATCTGGGCTGAAAGTTGTGCCAAATACAGCTATTATGACCGGGCGTTCTATTTGGGTGAAGACGGTAGGTGATCTCGTAGCTCTTAGTCTGTAGAGATGCATGCGTGAGCAAAAAAATGTTGTATTGATCTCCGTGCAGCAGAATATACGCTCGTGTGTGAGAGAGAGTTACTCGAGGATTGATGAGGAATCTTTGAATTCTCAACAAGAGAGAAGTCAAATTCAACGAACGTACATTTTCCTACGATGTATCTGACTGCAATTGCGGCCAGACAAGGGATGCATCTGACTCCAATCCCGTCTCGAGCTCAGTCCCAAAAAATCCTGGTGTGAGTATGTGCTTAGTCTTTTGTCCAGTGTTTCATGACAACCTTGTGGCTCAAATCCTGCTGGATAAAATGGCGTGACTGGCAATCCTAACCCCCCTTTTAAAAAACTACCCCCCCTTTAGCTGTTGATAAACAGGTCATGAGCTCAAGTCCTGCTGGATAAAATGGTGTGACTGGCAACCCTAATCCCCCCTTTAAAAAACAACCCCCCTTTAGCTGTTGATAAACAGGTCATGAGCTCAAATCCTGCTGGATAAAATGGCATGACTGGCAATCCTAACCCCCCTTTAAAAAACAAGAACAATGAGGGGGCGATCACACACTGCGTACCCGAAATCGTATTTTATCAGAAAAATGGGATGCCCGATTTGGGAAAATAGTGGCTGCACCGGTCACACTGCGTCCCCATTTTGCAACAGACAAGGTTGCGGCCGCCTGGATTTTGGGTCCTTTTCGACCGTCCCAGTCACACTGCGAGATTGCATTTCCTGGCAATATCTTCGTCTTCGAATTTCTTTCCATTTCCGCAGGTTGATTCCGAACAAAAAAGGGAATTTGCAGAACGATTCCCACCCGCCACGGCCCAAATGGGGTCTCGAATAAGTAGTTTGGGGAAATGAGATCCTGGTGTGGCTATCCCTCGACACTTTATTTTAGGTGTTTTGGGGACCATGGGGATTTGGTACCGCAGTGTGAGCGTTCCCTCACCGCAGGATTGTTGTCTGCTTGGTTTATTATGTTTGCAGGGGGCCCAAACCCGTCAAGAAAGGCCAGAACCTAAATGACGAGGTGGAGTATTATGATTTTGAAGATAAGATCAACTTCTCAGTTTTCCCATCTCTACAAGGGGGCCCTCATAACAATACAATTGCTGCACTTGCAGTTTCGCTGAAGGAAGTGGCAACGGAGGAATTCAGAGTTTACCAACAGCAGGTAAGCTACAGACTTACAGTCATCTTCGTTTTCGTGCAAGCAATGTTTTACTTGGTGGTTCTCGCTCACCACGTAACTGTCGGGTCCATCAGAGGCTCACTTTCTTTTTTTCTTTCCAGTTCTTTCTATTTCTTTTGATTTCTTTCTACCTTCTTTCTTTCTTTCTTTCTTTTTATATATATGTCACAGCCACTTGTTTGTTGTCCGCTTCTCTCTCTCTGCCTACGGTTTACCGGGCAGCTCTGTTTGACGATATATATATATAATATATATATTGTCACATAACTATGAACTAAAAGAGCGCAATTTGCGAAACAAACGGCAAGAAATAAAAATAAAAATAAAAAAACAGACAAACATGAAGGGCACAGTGAAACCATTCATTTTACTCATTCTTTTGACTCCCCTTTCACCGTGCCTCTCACGTACAAGGCTCGCCACGTTGATGAAGTTGAGCGCGAGCTGCCCCCATCCCAGTGTGCCATAACAGCCCACTTGTACGCTGTGAGAAAGAGGCAGAGTGAAAGGGGAGGGGATAAACACAGGGAGGAGAGATGGAGAGCAGAGAAACAAAGAACGATAAAGGGAAAGTAATGGAAAGTATGGAGTGTGGAGTGAAGATGAAGGCAAAAGAGGATAAGAAAAGGCTCAAGAATGAGTCTGTCCTTGACGACAGAGAGGACATACATTGTAAGGATGACGTGGATGAACACATGGAAGACCTAGCTGAGCATTCTCCGTGCAACAATCGCCACGACGGGTAGCATTGAGCATGCCCGCCATACACCCCCGACAAGGCCAAAATGAAAGAAGAACGGTCGCCACAAAAGAGCATGCATTCATATTACAACTCCCCCTGTTCAGAACCTCTTGCGTACAAGGCCGCCCACGTGGATGTAGGTTGAGCGGCGGCTGGCCCCACCCCCATGTGTCATATCGACCCACGAGCACACAGCCAAAGGGCAAAGAGGCAAAGAAAAGAGGAAGGGAACAGCCAAATACAACAAAACAAAACAGGGGGGTTGCAATAGTACCAAAAACGGATCCTAGATGGCAAGTCCGACATGCAAGCACCGCCCCTATATATATTGTATATATATATAAACAGAGCTGCCCGGTAAACCGTAGGCAGAGAGAGAGAAAAGGACAACAAATGAGGGGCTGTGATAAACTGTTTCGTCGGAGTTTCACCGGCTATATATTTATATATAGTATATATATCGTCAAACAGAGCTGCCCACTAAACCGTAGGCGGAGAGGGAGAAGAGGACAACAAAGGAGGGGCTGCGACAAACTGTGTCGTCAGAGTCCTCAACAGTCTGTGACAAACTCATTAGGAGGCTGAACCCTCAACAGTCTGCAGAATCCCCTAACTGATTACACTGTAAGTGATAATCCACCTTAACCTTGGTTGTGGTTAATCATCAACGACTGCCGCAAGTTGATACCCTGAGGTGGGCACCAATCACTGCCATATAGGGTTCAGCCTCCTGATGAGTCGGTGAAACTCCGACGAAACAGTTTGTCACAGCCCCTCGTTTGTTGTCCTCTTCTCCCTCTCTGCCTACGGTTTACCGGGCAGTTCTATTTGACGATATATATATATATATATATATAAAGACAGAACCTTATGGTTCCGACTCCTTTCCATTCTGGGGAGCGTCAGTGCGGTTCGTATTCCACCGGCAAGTCGAGAACATTACATGTCGAAACTCACCCACGCCCGTCCCCATTATGGTCGATAGGTCTGAGAAGGTGGCATTGATTTCTTGCCGCAGGAAGGATGTACCACCTCTCACCCCTACCTAAGTTAGCCTGTCCATGTATGGTCTCGGTGATTAAACCCTAAACCCTACTGTCTTAACCCTACTATCATCCCCGGCACCACCCCTCTCGGATCAAGGCTGTCAGCTATTACTCTCTGAACTATAGCAGTGCCCTGTGGTAATAGCAAAACCCTGAGCCTTACTCCTGGTTCACCGTTCATATCTCCGCGACAATACTCAGAGGGAACTTAGGCTGATGGCGCTCCCTTGTGATGGGGCGGGGTCAAGGAGGCTTGCCATATAGGGTCTTCTTGTTTGGTGGGTCCATCGGTGAGTTTCCACAGCAGCCTTGGTCTATCACCCTGTACGAGACCCAGTGTCCCGGCACCCAGCCTGTCCTTCAAGAATTTGTCTATAAGATATCCTGCTTCCTCGCAGGGTCATCCTTGATCCGCTTGAGTGTTTGGTTCCAGTCTAACTGATATTCAATCCTCAAGTTCTGCATGACTGTCGACCATGCTTCCGTCGGTGACACGGTTTGGGTGTCAATTGTTTCCTTGCAGCGCGGCTTCCCGATAGCCCAAAGTGTCAGTGGGTGCAGTCGTTGGAAGAGGGTCTTCTGCCATTTGTCTGTGAATCGCAGCTCTGCCAAACCCATGAGACGGGTGGTAGAATTATTGGGCAACGGGGTCGTGTTCACTCTCCTCCATAAGGCCTCCGCTCTGGTCCATAGTTGACGGGCTTTTGGACTATGCGGGAGGCCGTGAGGCAGGTCGTCCTGAACACCATTGGCACAGGTTTCACAAAGGTCATCGGACTTCCGTCTGGCTGTCTCTTTACGATGTCTGCTAAGCCATTTGTTGGTCGGGAGTGCGTGATAGTAGATGAGCCATGCATGCTGCGGATGCGCGTGCTTACGTGTTTCTCATCGCGAGCGGGATTTGCCAAGGGAGTGACGTCTGTCCTCGTAGGCTCCCGGGGAGGTGCTTCTCCCATCTTCAGATGAGGATGTCGTCGGTATCGATGGCCCTCCTCCTCCTGAGTTTATAGCCCAAGCGTGTGGTATAGTCCAGGATGCTCGGAGTGTGTAGTTGTACCCGTCGTCTTCCATGCCCAGTCCGCCGGGCTGAATTCCAAGTCCTGCAGCTGCGTCGCAGGTTTGTAGATTCTGTAGGAGTCGTCCTCCACTACCAGGATCTTTCCGAAGAAGGGACGGTTTGGCGGTGACACATGCGTGCACTGTCTTGTTGACCGCCAAACCGGCCCTTCTCCGGAAAAATGACCAAGTACTTCTTGCAGCCCGGTGGCTTTGACACCGTCCTGCCCGGTCGGCATGTGTATAGTCCACAGCGCCCATTCTCCTCTCGTGCCAGTGGCTTTGACATAGGCCAACGCCACTGTGGGTGACGATGGCATGCGACCTAGGGCGAGAGTCAAGGAGCTGTACATGAGAAAATGACCAAGTACTTCTTTCAGAAGATCAAGACCAATTCAAGGAACAAGCTTATAGACCAGCTGCGCTCAGGCGATACACTGACTTCAGATCCCGACGGAACGCTTCTTTCTATTTCTTTGTATTTCTTTTTTGAAGTTTTTTCATATCTTTTCTTCCTTTCTTTCTATCCATTTCTTTCTATTTTAGTATTTCTTTCTATTTCTTTTTTCATATCTTTTCTTCTTTTCGATACCGCTCTTGCTGTGCAGTTTTCTTTCTTTCCATTTCTTTCCATTTCTTTCCATTTCTTTCCATTTCTTTTTTCACGTCTTTTCTTCCTTCCTTCCTTTCTCTCATTTCTTTCCATTTCTTCCTTCCTTTCTTCCTGTCCATTTCTTTCTATTCCTTTCCGTTTCTTTCCGTTTCTTTTTTCATATCTTTTCTTCTTTTCAATACCGCTCTTGCTGTGCAGTGGAGGTCATGGGGACAGGTACTATTACAAAGTAAGTTCCATCTGTAAACTCCGTTCGTACCCTTGACGACTTCGTCGCTTTGTGTTTCTAACCCTTGGTAACTTAGTCTCTTTTAGAGCTCCTACCCTACCCTGCCTTTGCCTTCCAGGCACTGGAATCTCTCATCCTCCTCTTGATATTCTTGCTCTTTTTAAAAAGATAAGTTGTCCAACTTGTCCTCTTCTTCTTCTTCTTCTTCTTCTTTTTTTTTTTTTTTTTTTTTTTTTTTTTTTTTTTCTTCTTCTTTTTCTTCTTCTTCTTCTTCTTCTTTGTCTTCTTCTTTGGCTTCTTCTTCTTCTTCTTCGGCTTCTTCTTCTTCTTCTTCTTTTTTTTTTTTTTTTTTTTTTTTTTTTTTTTTTTTTTTAACGATAGACCTGTTCTCGATTTGTGTGTTATCCATGTGCGCAGAGGCAACGTATGCACGATTTGTGTGTCATCCATTGTTGACATGTATGCATTATAATGCACATTTGTTGACTCAACTGGGTTATACGTGGTCAAAATGCTACAGTTGATTTTATTACCGCTTAGACTTTTTACTAAGTTTTTAGTATTTATTAAGCTTTTAGTCATTTTTTTGGGCACAATTTGTTCCCTTTTGTCAATGAAAACCTGTTGCCTTTGTTCTCTTCTTTTGATGTCTGATGTCTCTTCTCTTCTCACTCTCTGTTGTGTTTGTCTGCCGACCAATGTGCGATTCGTCAGGAGGGAAGATTCTCTCTCTCTCTCTCTCTCGCGCGCGCGCGTGCGTGCGCTCTCGCTCTTGCTCTCACTCTTTCTCTCTCTCTCTCTCTCGCTCGCTCTTTTTCTCTCTGTTCTGAGGGCGTTTGTTTTATCTCATGTGTTGTTGTTTTGCAGTTTTTTGTATGTCATGACTTGGATATGCAAAGGTAACTGTTGAAAAGGGAATGGGAATTCGGCTGCAGGACATAACTCTGCGGTTTTCTTGTGACAGCCTGGAAGGACAGAGAGCTCCGTACTGATTTGTCAATGGTTCATTGGGAGGGTGAGCTCCTGGCGCATGTGGAATGAGACTCTGATGAGATGGTGATACTGTGTGTGTGACTGTGATTGCAGGTCCGGAGGAATGCAAAAGCATTGGCTGCTGCGCTGATGAGGATGGGTTGCCGTCTAGTGACTGGTGGCACGGACAACCATCTCGTCTTGTGGGATCTTCGCCCGCTTGGTCTGACGGGTAAGGACTCAGGAGCGATGTCTTTTCCTCCCTTTCGCCGCCTCTCATCTTCCTCCTTCCTCCTTCCTCCGCTTTCTCTCTCTCCCCTCTTTTGCTCTCTCTCCTAACTCCATTTCCCTTTGCTGTTTTTCCTGCCTTTTCTTTCTCGTGTTCCTTTTCCCTTCTTCCTAGTTTCCAGGCGCTTGATTTGTCAACGGTGTGCTTTGTAGTTCGTTGGCTCTTCTTGCATTGTTCTGTTCTCTGCGCTTCTCGCCCCTTCTGTCGTACATTACCATCTTGTCTTGCCTCCTTTCATCCGTGTTTGGGTTCTCCCATTCTCTTCTTTTTGCCCCTCCAAATCACCTCCTCTGGCTCTGTTCCATCTTGCTCCCTTTCCTTTGCCTTGCTTTCCTTGTTCGGCTTCCTGTTCGGCCGCTCCCTGTTTTTTCCCGAACGACGACTTCTTTTGCCCTGTTACGTCCTTTTCCGCCTCTCTCACCCCCGATTCACCGTATTGGGCTCTCTTTCTCCCGTCCTCCCACGTCTGCTCACATGACCTGTCTTCCTGGCCCGATTCACCGAATCGGGCTCTCTTTCTGTATTTTGCAGCCTGCTGTTACTTCTGTATCACATCGATCTTCGCTCTCAGCCTTTAGTCCTTCTCTCCTCTGAGACTCGTTCTGTTCTCCCGTTCTCTTTCTCCACCTTTGTCGCTGCCGCTTCGTTTCTCCTAAACTCTTCCACGATTCTTTCGCTCCTTGCTCTCTTTATCCCCTGTCTTCTCTTTTCTTGCCCCGCAGTCGTTCTTCTCCTCACAACATTGGACATCCATTGCAATTTGCAACTGATCGGTCAGGACACCTACCGTATCCGATTGGTAGATCGATTCAACGCCGTTTGGCATGGTCGTTATGCTCCGCAACGCGTGTTTGTTTCCTGATTAGGATGCATACCGACCCTTTGCAATATCCGTGCACCTGCAATGTTGTGCACAAAAAAATTGTCCGTCAGAGGCAGACATTGCACAAGCATTGAGAAATGCTGCAACAGAGTTGAAGTTGAGAAGTTGAAGCTGTGAACTGCTAGAATGTGCACGAGAGCTGCTTTACCACCACTCGGACGCTGGTTCTTTTCACCGTTCGTCCGGTGCTAGTGTCGTCGGTATCGCTGTATTCAACCGCAAGTACACGGCCCCAGCCTTGCAGAAAGTTTTTGTTGCCACAAGCAAAAGTCGGAGGGGCCGCGCGGCATGGAGCGCCGTTGAAAAAAAAAAATCGGTGGCCTCCGAAGTGGTCCGGGTTTCGTGCTGAAACCCACAGGCCCCGGTGTGCCGGTGCTTTAAGATTGATGTATAAGTTGCTCCAAATAACAGCTATAATGTAAAAATACTAAACAGAAAGAAGAAAGAAAAATTTCCTACCTATTGTCTCCAGACTCTCCACCGTCATACAACTTACGGTGATTGTCGCTGCACCGAAGACTGCAAGTTGCTCCAACTACAGGTATGAGAGGTGTGGGAAGTTCTATTTGGGGATAAAAACGGTTGGTAGGTTGATTGGTCATGAAATTTCAGTGCCGTGTTTGTTAAATTTTGAATGCTTGTATTCGCGATAAGAATGCAATGGAGAGATCCAAGACCGGCGTTGCTGTTTGTTTGCTACAGTATTCACCCGAAGAGAACAGAACTCTGACCGGTCATTATCGTCGTATCTAGACTGGAAATTGCCCCAAATTCAGATAAACTGACCAGGCGTTCTATTCGGATGAAGACAGCCGTACCCGCGATAAGAATGAGGCGACAGAGGGATCCAAGACGGACCGGCTATGTTTCCTTGTTGTGAGTTTTGTCTCTAGCATGTAACTCTGTGTGTAGCCTCTTGTGCTGAATCTGCTGATGATGTGCATGTGGTGTATATGCTCAATGGAGAGCAGTGGGTGATCGACCGGCCAGTTTTTTTTTTTTTTTTTTTTTTTTTTTTTTTTTTTTTTTTTTTTTTTTCGGGATATGGGTGATCGACTGCTTGATGGAGAAAAGTGGGTGGTCAACTGGCCCTTTTTTTTTTTTTTTTTTTTTTTCAATAGGTGATTGACATGGATGGCTCGTTTGTCCGACTGCTTTCTCTGTCAATGTGGGATCTTTGTGTCGGAAAGTCAGGTGCCAAGATGGAAAAGGTGTGTGAGATGTGCCATATCACACTCAATAAAAATGCAGTCTTTGGGGACAGCAGTAATGCCGGTCCAGGCGGCGTGCGACTTGGTACGTTTCTGTTCATCTGACTTCATCGACGCACACACATTTCGCCCTGCTCCTTCTTTGCCCTTCCCCGCTCACAACCCCTCAGCCCCCTGTGAATAGGCGCTACAGTCTGCTAGACCCTAACATTGCTATACCATACGTCTGGTTCAATGAAGGGTTTTTTCTTTTCTTTTTTCCCCCTGGTTCAAGAAATCCAGTTTCACACCCGGTATCTGTTCATTGACAGAGTTAAAGGCGTGTAAGCATATCGGCTGCATGGGCTGGGCACACTCCCTCATTGTTGGATCTGCATCTGGTCTGAAGACTGAAACAGCAAACCGTGAAGATAAAATATGTGTTGAAACTGCTGAACTAATATTGATTGATGATGTTCTTGCGATTTCTGATCGTAAACACGCAGGGATGGGCCAGCAACCGGCCGGTTCAGATCGCCCGGTCCAACCGGGGCCGGCATGGCCCGGGCGGGGTGAACCGGAAAACCGGTTAAAAAAAAAAAAATACCCCTATTTTAAAAAAAAAAAAAGTGGATTGCGGATTCCAACTGTGCTCTCCGTGATCTGTCGGAATCCGCAATAAAACTTTGTGGGTGCGATTTTGTTTTGGGGGTGTCCCCGGGGTGTCGGGGGGTGGGTGGTTGGCATTCAGGTGGGATGGGTTTATGGGAGGGCTCTCTCTCTCTCTCTCTCTCTCTCTCTCTCTCTCTCTCTCTCTCTCTCTCTCTCTCTCTTGACGGGGGTTGAACGCTCGATGTGTTCTCCCCCGTTGCTTGTTCAAAAAGCGGGAGTTCCCGCACGAATGGAATCAAAGAAGTGGCTGATCTTGGCCGCTGATCTGCAATGATCGGCTGCCAAGCAGCAGCTCCTCTGATGTGCATACGATTGAATCATTAAACGATTCAGCCCCAAAGTTGGGGTTGCAAAGTCGCTATATCCTAATTGCCTTCTTGTTTCCTTGTCCACATGAGAGGGTCAGCCGGTGAACAAAGGTAGCAAGGTAGCAGAAGAAAGTTTTTTGATTGATCGATTGTGGGGTGTTTAGAGGGGGGAGGGGGGGGGGGGCTGCGGGGGTTAAATGTACATGATTGAAAGGTTGGATGTTCCACCCAAAGCTTGTCAAATGCTTGATTGTTTCTTACCTTGGTTTGCGGTTGTGCTTCTGTCATGTGTCTATGGCCCCAGGATCACCTGCAATGACAACTCGGGGCTGTAAAGAGGAAGACTTTGAGGTGATCGCAAAGTTCTTGGAGAGGGCGGTAATGATCGCATTGTCGATACAAAAGGAACACGGACGATCAATGCGGGACTTCATGAAGGGCTTGGACGGCCACCCAGATCTTGCAGATCTCAGAGTGGCCGTGGAGCGATTTGCAGCGTCTTTTGACATGCCTGGATTTGATGTAGGCGCAATGAGGTATCACTGACGTGTCGGTCGCAAAAACGCATCGATTGCCAGCTGGGCTCCTTGACCGACAGTGCTGCGTAGGGATGGATGGATGAGATGTGGTTTTATTTAGATCAGCCCCAGCGGAGCGTGGTCTAGAGCCATGTGCTCTCCTATCCGATGTCTGTGTTCGCTGGGTCTCTTATACGTTGAATTGGGACCTCTTAGGAGATCCTTGTTAGCGCAGCGCACACAAGCGGGCGGGCAGGCAGGCAGGCAGGCAGGCAGGCATCAACAGAGAGCGTGATCCAACATCCTGCATCCATTTCTTTCAACAAGCACATGCAGCCAGCCCTTGCAAAGTGAACGAACTGTCCAAACATCATTCATGACCACTGTGCTGCTCTGCCTTATAATCGCAGGATGGGTACGGCTGGCGCGCAGGAGGATCACTCGATCGTCAGTCAATTTTGGTTTCCCTGGTTCTGGGCGTTATTCTTTCGCAATGGACGTTGCTTATGGACTGCCTGATGGATGTATGCTTAATCAGCAGAAGGGAATCAAGGTAACCAATTTTGGTTTCGGTGGATGGGGTGCAACAACCGGGACCGTCTGATCGATGCTTAACCACCAGAAGGGAAGCGAGGTAAGGGGGGCCGGAGGGTGGCTTGCGGAGAACCTTGCAGAGAATCTAGGCCAGGTACGTGCATGGAAATGCTGACTGAGAAACTGTGACTCCATTGCGTGGGACTAAATTTGACTTCCAATTTGATAGTGCTCATGCATTGATGACTATGTGTCCAAGCGAGTGATTGAGAGGATCGAGGACAGAACGAGAGAGCGTGCCGATTGGGATGAAGTGTTGCTCTTCGACCGATCAAGAGTGGACAGTTTTCAAAAAGAACCTCGCGATTAAAGAAGACGGCCAACAATTCAACCGCACAGGAAGATTGCAAACAATTCAATTTATCATCTATATGCTGATCCGAAAGCAAGCAGGTCAGAGGTGTAGTCTGGACATCATCATCATCATCATCATCTCTCTCTCTCTCTCTCTCTCTCGCGCGCGCGCGCGCACGCGCTCTCTCTCTCTCGCTCTCCCAGCATCAGCTTGCTGAGTGAATGATGATTCAGTTCCCACATTGGCCTTGCGGCGGAAGGGAGGGCGTGCGATTTGTAGGCTGTATCCATGTGCAATGTCAGCGTTTAGACGTCATCTATCTGTTTTAGTGAAGGAACGGATGGATGGTGAGCAGGTCCTGCCAGCAGCCAGCTTGTTCTGTCAGAGGGAGAGAGGTAAATGTGGTATGTTCTTTTCCCAGACAGGGAAGTCGCGGCAGTTTCTGGATGAGCTGCGGACGCAGGAGACGTCTACTTTTGCTGGCAGCAAATTGTGTATATGTTAGATAGAGCAATTCAAATTTGAGGTATTGAATATGTTCTTCACTAACCTGGGCACAATGGTTAACGCGGGTTTTGTCTTGCAAAAGGAGGCTCAGTTGACAACATTTGACGGTAAGAACAGGCCGGGGCGACTTGCCTGCAATGGCAGGATAGAAGAATAAGATGACCTCGCCTCGAAAGACCCAGTTTCAAGTTCGGCTCGATGGGCTGCGCAACCGATTGTTGGCGGTTCATTTGTGCGGCCACGGCAACAACTCCAGTTGCAAGTTGACCACCCTGTTGCTGGAAGAATAGGAAGAAGGACCCGCTGGCCAAAGCAAATTTTGTCAAACGTCGTTCGCATCGGTGGCCTTCGTCGAACACTCCGTGAACAAACAGTTTGATCAGTTGCTGGGAGTGAGTTTATATTCCGCCCCCACGGCCCCCCAGTGGTAGATAGCCGGCTAGTTGATTGGGCTGGATTGCTACCCCCCTCCCCCCAGCAGGGATAGCTAGCTTACTTGGCTGGCTTGTGATGCAATGGATGGTGTGATTGTGTACGACAAAGCCTCCGCCCGGTTGATGCTGTGGGTGGGTGGGTGGGTGGGGGCGGGGGAGAGTTCCACCTTTGGTGCTGCTTCTGTGGGACAGGTATGGAAGTCCTATTGGGACAATGTTCATTAGCAAAGAGTGAAGCGTCTAGGGCTTCTTACCTAAAAGGATCAGGAGCATCAATCGTCGGTGTGTGAACATCTGCAATGACTGCTGTGGAGAGTAGCAATTCGCAAATATCTGCTATTGAATGCTGCGGAGAGTAGCAATGCGCAAACATCTGCTATGAATGCTGTGGAATGGCTTGCTTGTGCATTGCTGTCAGCGGCCGGCAAATTTTGTAGACCTTGGGAGATGGGAAGTACTCGGATGTCTTACTGTGAATGCGGACCTTGCGAGCTCGGGTACAAGTCTGCTTCGATCTCCGGAACAAGTCTGCATCTCCCAAGCTGTACAAATAGGCAGCAGGGATTCTTTATTGTACCCTTCAATGGCCAGTAGTGGTATGCTGGCCAAGCCTTCACAATTGGGTTTCAAGGTTGTGGAGCATACAGTTCATGCTGGCAAGGAGTGTGGGTGATGGGTCCACAGGTGGACCCTAATTCCTGTGCTCATTGTAAGTCAGGGACGTCAACTCCCTCTTTTGCCATTGCTCCGGCGTGTAAATAGATAGGAGAGAAATTGACGGGCTTGCGGGCCTTAGCACAACATAATGTCTTTTCCTGGATCTATGATCTATCCATGAGCTCCTGCGATATCGGTCCCCTGTTTCCCAGTTCCATCCGGTGGTCGCCTCTTGGGACACATCCTCTTTGGACCTGTCAACGTGCTCATCCACTACTTGGAAAAGATATTTCTACACATTGTTTTTATAGAGACGGACACGGACACACACATACACACACAGAGAGAAAGCGTGCGCGCGCGCGCGCGCGCGCGAGAGAGAGAGAGAGAGAGAGAGAGAGAGAGAGAGAGAGAGAGGAGGTTCGCAGTAAGGTGGCATGGGCAGTGAATGAGCTGTGGTGACATGGAACTGGCATGACATGGATGATTGGGTGGCCGAGGGAACCCATCATTTGGTTCTAGACAAGTGAAATCTGTGAGTTATTCAGTTCACACCCAGCAGTGTAGGACATGAAAGAGTTGTGCCAGATCTTGAGAATATTGATCGGCGGTTCCTGCCGTCGGGCTATGGCATCGCTACTTGTTTTTTTTTGTGAAGGTTATTTTGAAAGGCCTTATCTCCAGCGTCGCAGGAGTCGTTGAAAAGGTTGGGGAAAGGTTTGATCTCCAGCCTCGCAGAAGTAACTGAAGCGTAATTGAAGTGGGATCACTTCATGATTAACAAGGTGAGTGGTCCTCCTGGAATTGGAGTGGAGTGTGGAAGCCTGCGTCTCTCTTCTCAGAACCTTGTTGCAACTTGTCAGGGCCTGTGAACTGAACTGCTTAGTTTGTCTTTCTTTCTGAAAGAGTGATTTCATCATGCTTTCCTTACTTCAAATGGCCCTGGGGCGACCTGGCGGTATGCTATCTACTGTACACCTTTGGGCCCTGCGTACCCTGATTCTTTGCAGTCAGGGTAAAGTTGAGAAAGGTTCTTTGAGAAGGGTTCATTTATCTGTGAAGTTGGCAAGTAAGGGCAGCTTTGTTTTGTGTCGGTGACTCGCTAGCGAAGGCCTCTCTCA